ATGGATGGATGGGTGGATGAATGGATGGATGGATGGATGGATGGGTGGATGGGTGGGTGGGTGGATGGGTGGGTGGATGGGTGGATGGATGGATGGATGGGTGGATGGATGAATGGATGGATGGATGGGTGGATGGATGGATGGATGGATGGATGGATGAATGGGTGGATGGGTGGATGGGTGGGTGGATGGGTGGATGGATGGATGGATGGATGGATAGATGGGTGGGTGGGTGGGTGGGTGGGTGGATGGTTGAGATAGGTAGATAGATCAATTTATAGACAAATGGATGAACAAATAGATAGTTATTTTTCTGATCTTGTCAAGAATCCTGCTTTGGAAACACCCACCCATCACCAGGAAGCATTTCTTCTGAAAGACCAAGCCCCCTTTGCAGCCACACCATCTTTAGAAGACTCCAGTTCTGTTCCCGAGTCCACGGTCGTGAGATGATTCCGTGTCCAAGAGCTACCAGAGTTGGGAAGCTCCCAGCACAGTCACCCAAAGCCTCCAACTCCTCGAGTTTGTGTTTTGTTCTCTCACGTCATTGAAATAAAGAAAATGAGAGAGGTGTTGGCCCGAGAACCACATGAGGTGAAGCTGGTTTGAGGTGTCTGCAGATAGTGGACAACGCAGTTCTGGGGCCTATGCCCTCCTTCAGACGTGAACCCGCCGTGTTTCTGGGTATCTGAGATCTCGGATCTTCAGACAGGACTGGGTTGAAGTGGTCTCTCCCTGGGGCCAGAGAAGGCCTTGCAGTCACACCTGGAGTGTGTGTGTGGTGTGTATGTGGCATTTTTGTGTGTGTACTGTGTGTGCAGTGTGGGTGGATGAGTGTGGTTTGTGTGTGTGGTATGCATATGTGGTGTGTGTGTGATGTGTGTGTATAGTGTTTCTGTGAGGAGGAATGTACATGTGGTGTGGTGTGTATGTGGTGTGCCGTATGGGGTGTATGTGTGAGTGCGGTGGAGTTGCATGTGTATTGTGTGTGTATGGCATCTGTGTGAATGCATATATGTGGTGTGGTGTGTATGTGGTGTGTGTGTATGTGGTGTCTACGTATGTGTGGTGTGGTGTAGTTACCTGTGTGTATATGATGTGTGTATATATAGTGTGTGGTGTGTGTGATGTGTGTGTGTGTGTTGCAAGCATGATATATCTGTGTGTATGTTGTGTGTATGGCATATGTGTGTCTGTGGTGCATGTATGGCATGTGTATGTGGTGCATGTATGGCATGTGTGCATGCCGTCTCTGTGTGTGGTGCATGTATGGTGTGTGTGTGCTGTGCATGTATGACATGTGTGTGTGGTGCATGTATGGCACGTGTGTGTGGTGCATATATGGTGTGTGTGGTGTGTGTATGGTGTGTATGTATGTGTGGTGTGGAGTAGTTGCCTGTGTGTATGTGATGTGTGTATATGTAGTGTGTGGTGTGCATGATGTGTGTGATCTGTGTGTGTATTGCAGGTATGGTATGTCTGTGTGTGTATGGTGTGTGTATGGCATGTGCGTGTGTGTGGTGCACATAAGGCGTGTGTGTGCAGTGTGTGTATGGCATGTGTGCATGGCATCTCTGTGTGTGGTGCATGTATGGCATGTGTGCAGTACATATATGACATGTGTGTGTGTGTGGTATGTATGGTGTGTGTATGTGTGGGGGTGCACGTATGGCTTGTGTGTGTGTCTGTGGGGTATGTGTACAGTACATGTGCCCTCCATCACTCTTGTCCATGGATGTCAGGAATAATGACCCTAACTAACATGGGACAACTACATCATGACATCCTGACATTAGCATAACTGACAAACTACCTTATAACTGCCAACCACTAAGAATCATGGCCAAGTTAACACACAACCATAACCATCACATGGACCACACACAAAAACTAACCCAAAATGACCAAGAAAGAAAATATGGACAATGCTAGGGGTCGTAATACACACTAGAAATGGAACACTAAGCATAGTAAAAAGGCGTTAACAGCAGAAAACAGATCACTGGGATTGCCTAAAAATTAAACACTGGTACTTATCCAAGAGGAGCTCTGGTAACATAGTGCCTAAGGCACTTGACTGCTAACCAGAAGGCTGGCAGTTCAAACCCACCAGCCACTACTCAGAAGGAAGGTTAGGCAATCTATTTCCATAGTGATACCACCTTGGAAACCCAAGGAGGGGTCGCTATGAGTCAGATCCGACTCGACAGCAGTGAGTTTGGTTTGGTTTTACTTATTAAAGAGTTTACCAGAAGAGTAAAAAGAAAACCTACAGACTGGGAGGGTCATTGAGGGAAGACCTTCCATGAGATGGACTGACACGGTGGCTGCGACCACGGGCTCGGGTCTAGCAAGGATCGCGGGGCTGGCCCGGACCAGGCAGGGTTTGCTTCTGTTGTACACGGGGTCACTAGGAGTCAGAGACCATTGGATGGCACCTAAAAATAACACCACAATAGCTGACAAGGGTCTAATCTCTAAAATTGATAGCAAAGTCCAATATCTGAACAATAAAAAGACAAACAATCTAATTAAAAAAAAAAATGAATAAAGGACACGAACGGACACTTCACCAAAGAAGACATTCAAGCGACCAACAGACACATCAAGAAATGCTTGAGATCATTAGCAATTCCAAAACAACAAAAAAGAAAATACCAGACTCACTGGGTGTGATTTGGGCTTTGCTTCTGTAAAGATTGTTGTTATTGTTAGGTGTTATGGAGTCGTCTCTGAGTCATTTGCAACCCCACGTACAGCAGATCGAGACACAGCCTGGTCCTGCCCCAGCCTCACAGTCCTTGCTAGACCTGAGCCCATCGCTGCAGTCACCGTGTCAATCCATCTCATTGAGGACCTTCCCCTTTTTCTCTGACCCTCCACTTCACCAAGCATGACTTCCTTCTCCAGGGAATGATCCCATCTGACAACATGACCAAAGTAGGTCAGATGAAGTCTGGCCATTTTGCTTCCAAGGAGCAGTCTGGCTGCACTTCATCCAGGACAGATTTGTTCATTCTTCTGACAGTCTGTGGTATTTTTGGTATTCTTCACCAACACCACCATTCAAAGTAAAGACTGACAGCCTTGGAGACCCTGTGGGCAGTTCCACTCTGTCCTCTAGGGGCGCTGTGGGTCAGAATGGACTCCACGGCAGTGG